CTGTATTCTCGCCTTAGCTGGTTCGCACCGGAATCTGGAAGGAAGCTCAGCAGCTTAATCGCTCTTAAATGGAGGAGAGGAACGCGGACTAGAGATACGACCTGTCTATGTGGTTCCCTCGGTGGTGTCTTCTCCGCCCTCGTGGTCCTTGGGATCCTTCTCTCTTAGTCGTTGCGGCGTCGGTGAGACGGGTAATATTCTACAATGTTTCCGGGAGCCGCCGATACGGTATAACAAATATTCGAGATCGCTACGGGAACTAAAAGAGTGATTACGAACGGTACTCGGTATTCGGGCGGCGGGAGCCACGCAAATGTAGTCCCGCGGCCCGCGCCACGCGTCCGCCTCCGAAAATCGGAAGGACGCAGGACTCGAAACTACCGCCCGCGGTCGGGTCCGTAGATCCCTTGTGACGGACGGTCCGAAAAGGGACGTCCCGTCACAATATATATATATATATAACTATATCACATAATTGTATACTTTTTCGAGGTTACTTTGACGATTATTAATATTTTTATTCACAACCAATAGTTACAAACGTTATAATTTATAAAGATAATTATCCGCTATTTCTATCGTGTATAATAACCATTATTGGCATATATACATATCTACAGTTACATAATTCATCTATACTCTATTCTTTCGAGTGTAACTTTCAAGAAAGAATAAATCGAGTTTTACTTATTAATCTCTTAATCTCTTATTGGTAAGTCCTTGATCTCTACAACGAAGGAAAGATCTCAGCTCTCGGACATCCCAGGGTACCAATCCCTAAAAGAAACGAGGGCAATCGCCCTTTTCGCGAGGTACGTAGAAAAGGAAGTCGATCGTCTTCCGGGACGTGACAGCGTTCTGCAAAACTCGAAGTTTTCGTGATAAAAATGCCACGGGAGCGCGAATCCGGCGTATCCACGCTGCAAACAACGAAACTCGTCGTTTACGTGATAAAAACGTCGCGGGCGCGCGATTCCGACGTTTTCACTTTGCGTTCTCCAAAACTCGACGTTTGAGTGGTAGAAACGCCGCAGGAGCGCGAATCCAACGTTTCCACGCTGCAAAGAGAGAAACTCAAGGTTTTCGTGCTAGAAACGCGGCGGGAGCTTGAATCCGACGTTTTCACTTTGCGTTCTCCAAAACTCGACGTTTTCGTGCTAGAAACGCGGCGGTAGCGTGAATCCGACGATTTCACTTTGCGTTGTCACGTCTAGAGCGACAGGTTACCTGGTTCTCTTTTGTTTTAGGTCAACCTGCTTACACCGGCTTTACTTGGGATGGAGAGAACCTGAACTGCTGCGATAGAGGAGAGGTAGAAAACGAGAATGTGGTTCAATAAAATCTTTATTTAAATAATTCTATTCGAGGCTGTTATTTATTTTAATTATTTATTTAACTTTCCATCTGATTGTCTAAACAAGGCTTTATAATAATAATCTTATTATATCCAGATGTACGAAAGAAATCTTTACTTAGACATAAGCAAATACTCTCATGCGGAAGATGAGTCGGCTCGAGTACCAACGTTCGTCCCTTATTACTCTTGACGAACCCTATTCTTGTTCTGGTGATGTCGATCCTATACAATCTGGAGATTCTGGAGAATACGGTGATTCCGGAGATTCTGGAGATTCTGGAGAATCCGGAGAATCAGGAGAAGCAGGGGAATCCTGGAGAAATTATAATTACGTGTTTCAAAATTTACGAATACTTTATTTAATCAATTCTGTGTGCTAGTTGAGGCTTCAGCCAAATCATTCGGGTCAATAGTTAATAAAAAGCGACGAATAGTGGCGTTATTATCTTCGATTGTATTAAAAGGTTCTTCTTGACCTTGAATTTGCGGATTCTCTAACTCTATTGGCGCTTATTAATGTCGCTATAATCTAAAGTATCTTTGTCTGCAATGTCAATTTCCGGATCAACAGGGGGAGGAATCCAAAGGGGGACACGAATAGTTTGAATGTTAATTATTCGCGGAAGAATTCGCGGATTAAGAGGATGAAGATGATATTGCAAATTTAATGGTTGTAGTTGCGGTAACAAAGGCTAAACCCGGTCAGCTTCATCTTCAGTTAAGTCGACAGTAATGACATCCGGTCTATCTGGGACGCGGAGTCGTCCATGTTGTGGTGCTGGTTGTTGCACCGGTGGCCGAATTATTGGTTTAACAATTGCAATAGGCCTCTCTATTGGCCTTTCACGAATGGCTAATGGAAGCTCTCTAACGTGAGGTATTCCCAGCTCAGCTTTAAGTTTTGCTCTTTCAACCTTTTTTCGTTGTTTCCTGCCTGATCGATGTTTCCTTTGGTATTCTGTAGGATAATGCAAAGAGGGGAAGTTAGCTCTTAAAGCGCTGATATTCTCGCTCGCTAAGCCGAATCTTAAAGGAAAGGGGCAGTTTTGGCTCTTAAAGCGCAGATACTCTCCCTCGCTAAGCCGAACCGCAAGGAATGGAAAGGCATCAACAAGAATTTAAACAAAAATGTAATTTACTTCTAAATGGATACCGGTAACTTCCAATTAAGCAGCCACAATCTGTCGAATAGTAATATCGCGTGTGATTGCGACACGATCAAATAACTCGAGTTTAATTAAAAGCTTACGCGAAAGGATAGTTATAACACTCATTCAGCACTTACAGATATTGAAGAACTAGCCTGTCCTTCCATGTCAAAGATTCAGCTGTTTCAGCTCGTGTTTTATTTCAATAGAATATTAATCTATTAATGTCTGTCAATACAGTAATCAGGGTTAGGATGGCTTAGAATTGATAATTATTTAATACAATATTTTATTAAATTTGTACAATGTATTTACTGCAACGGCTCAGCACAAATGTCAAGGGTAAACCTTGTTCGAAATTCAGTTAAAAAATAAAACGATACGTCAAAAAACAATTGAATTCGTAAAGGGTTATAAGTGAGGCATAATAAAATAATAATAATAATAATAATCATGTTCTATGATTCATGAATATCAAATTGACAGGCAACACAAGGGTTATAACGTTTCTATTCAACAGTAATAACTCAAATTCAAGAGCATTAAAGGCAATTCCCAAAATCTTGAAATTCGATTAATTCAAGATAATATTTTAGGCAACACAATAGTAATAACTCATATTTAAAAACGTTAAAGGCATATCCTCAAAGTCTTAAAATTCAATTAATTCGAAGTAATAGCTCAGTTTCAGGCACGTAAATCATCAATGTTTTATAATATCGTACGTAGTCTCGACACGCACGCCAAATAGTTTCGTAATAAGATAATGTTCATTCAAAATTATTTATTTATCGAGGGTCGTTCTCACTAACAAATAATTAATTCACTTTGGAAGTATGGCATGAAATTAAAATATAGTTCGTTCTTAAACTGTCAGTTGAAGAGCCAATAGATCGTTCACTCATTTATGTCAAATGTGACACTTCATTTATTATAATTGTCGCGAGGTCGATGCCCTCGCAACAATCAGCATTTTAAGAACCAATTAATAAGCATTCGAGCCGGCTAGGCATTCGGCGCAAAATTAGCAATAACATTATATTCGAAAATACAATAAATCAAAGAACGTTAACCGCGACGTACCGAGAACAGTCTCGCAATGCAATTACCGAAATGCTGAGCGCTGACGCGGCAACGCGTAGTAATAAGTACGCGCAACGATAAGCCGCGGGCGGTCAGTCTTTTACGTCCGTCTTGACACGACCGGTCCTGACGTTCGTGTCGTAAAAATTTAATCTACTTGTCGTAAATAAGGTGAAGGTGTTAAAAGAAATCAAATCTGTGAACCAACATGAATTAAAGAATATACAGGGTGGACCATTTTAATCCATTCAGTCGAATATCTCGAAAATCAAGCCCGGGAGAGAAAAATTTTTCAGACAAAAGTTCTCGGACTTCGAGGGGGACATAAGATGATAACATTGGTTTGACCCTGAGTGGCGTCGTCAAGGTCAGGACAAGGTCACTTTGAATTTTTTAAATGGAACCCCCAATTTTTTATTACATGTTCTTATAGCACGCCTCGAGAACTTTCCAAAACACATAAATAAAATATTTTTTTATGAAATAAATCTTGAGTTATGAAGCTTGAAAGTTGGAGTATTTTATTATAAAGTGAAGTCCCGTTCCCCCGCGGAGTCGGATTCTCTTTTGTGCCCCTCAACCCCCGGGCACAACATAATATATCAAAGTTAACTTGTGATTATTCAAGCATAAGTTTATTAAAATATTAAATTAATCGCTTGAAGTGGTTTGTTCACTGATATTCAAGTTAAAATCGGGCAAGAAATATTAATGAATTTAATTGGACTGGTGAAGTGAATGAATAAATATTTAATAACTGTCAGCAACTCGAAGCGCGGATACGCTCGCCTTAAGACACTAACATTCAATAAAATATTAACAACAGAGCACTCGGAGACTCAAATCGTCACACGGAAACTCTGAAGTCAATAATTAAATTATAATAATTACTTCGTGGGTTTAAATAAATCTTCATAAAAGAATACTTTTATTTTACGATGGAGTATAACTCTCGTGTTAAAGTTCAACGATGACGTATTATCGCTTCACTTCAATAACACTTTTAACGAACACTTCAAGTCGTTCTGTAAATAAATTAATGTTATGAATAATGAATATGCAGTTGTAAATTATTTAATTAGCTCTTGACAGTTAATGTTCAGTAATAAAGTAATGTTAAAATAAATCAGTATCTGATGCCACTTCTAAAGAGAATATTAATGATCCGATATAACAATATATTTTATGTTAAGGAAAAGAAGTTAAAGAAAAGAAGTAATATTATAATATAGTTTATGATTGTTACAATTTTTAGTTAAATTTAGAAAAGATTTAATAAAGATTGTCACGCACAGTCTATAAATTCAGTGAAGATAGTTACTTACAGTTTCAAATTCAATAAGAAATAGTTACTTACAGTTTCAAATTCAATAAGAAATAGTTACTTACAATTTCAGATTTAATAAAGACGGTTACTTACAATTTCACAAATTTGGAATATCGCATGGCTCGTCTCGGCTCGGGAGTATCTTGAATTTGTCAGGGGAACAGCTCTAGAGTGTTTGTACACGCGAATCTACTTTGTCTAGACCGATTTTGACGCGTGGAGTCTAAGTCCGAATAATAAATTGTCAGTACGC